TGCAATTCTTTTTTTTTCTTAGTTTGGTGATTCAATTGTCAAAATTTACGGTATAGGTCGTGTATTAATGTTAGCAAAATTACAATAGTGGTTATTCTGGTATTTATTGATACCATCAAAATGAATGCAACTCAAAGCCAAATCTATGCACACCCGGCATGACAAGGTGTCCCTTTTTTTGAACATTCCATCACAAAAGTCAGGTTGCGTAATAGACTAAGGTCACAATAAGACGGTGTTCTTTGATTCTGAGATTCTCACGGCACCTTGAACATGCTAGCACCCCCGTTGCCTTTTCATTTTTTCCTCCAAACGTAACAGGTCGCACTGTGACGAAGATCGTTCATTTATTTCATTTCTTTAGGGTTTATATTCGTGGTTATACCACGTCTGCTGTCTTCAGGATGACTTCTCGTTTCTTTAGATACATCACGCAAATATTTATTACTTTTGGGGTTAAATCATCAATAGATCCTGGTACCAATCTTACATTTGATTAAATTTGTAATTGTCTGATGACAATAGAAAGAAAACCCTCTTGAATTTTTTTCGAAAATATTTCTTTTTTCTATCAAGTGTTTGGGAATGGTTGTATTAGAAAAATAAAGTTAACAGAAAAATAGAAACATAATGAGATGTTGGAAAATTAATCTAAGTTTTACTTTTAATAGAGTTTAAGAGACGAATGAATACAATTTTGAATTGTTCATAATAAATATAAATTTTTATAAATAATATATAATATATTGAGAATTTTTTTTTTCTGTCAAACTTGAATTTATTTTTAATTAATGATTTTTTCAGTGATTTTAATAATTATTGATGCCTCACAAACATTGTTTATGTTAAAAAAAATTTTTTTATATAATATTATTGAGAAAACAAAAATTCATTAGACTAAACTCTGTTCGATTTTATATTTTGATGGTGAAAAAAAGCCTGATCGGTACCCTATTATAAACAGCAATTGATCATGATGACCAAGAAAAAAATCTTGGTATCCTCGCACCATTGTGGGCAGCCCGGAACCATTCTTAAACAAACGAAGCGCCGGCAGACGTTGAGTGGAACGAACGTAAGTTTCATTAATCAAAAATTTTTAGACAGACGAAATGAAAAAAGGGCACAGGCAAAAAATCACTTTTTTAAATGTTTATATACACTTCAACATACAGTTTTACAAAAGAATACCAAGGCACGCGTTGCAACTGTAACTTTCTTCTCCAAAACTCGTTTATTATCGATGGTTTCGAAAATTAGAAAAACATCTTTCCACCATTAATTAGCAGATAACAGTTGCCAACGATCTTCTATTTTAACATTAAATTATAGAGCTATAGCTCGTGTATACGTATTTTCGACACCGTGAAATCAAATTCATTACTCAAATTTTAATTGGTTATGTTTTTTTATAAGACTGTATGTAAAATAAGTTGAGTAAAAAAGGCACTTGAAATAGATTCTATTTATTGAGTGATTGATATTGTTGAAAACTGAGCTCAATATTAATACAATATGATTGTTAAATGACTTTGCATGACTTTAAACAATCATATATTATTTATAACAATATCAATTTGTTATAAACGATTAAAAAAACATTATAAAACTAAAAGATGACAAAATCGTTAACATTTAATCAAATGTTTTCAGCTTTATAAAAATTAGAATGACTGAAAAATGTTGAGTATTTGACATTGCATTAGTTTTTCGTAAAATTGTGATAATCACTAGTAATTAGGTGACGATTTGCATCAGATACAAAGTATTTAGTCCACTTTTAATATTTTTGTTTTGCTTTAATTTAGTTTAAGCTCCAACCTAATCTCTCTTTATCGTCTTATACTTAGTTGGTCCAATACAAATGAACATGCCTTTTCATTTAATACTATATATAATCCTTCCTAACACATATAATATTGGGTTATGTATTTTCTTTAATCGTCAAGCACCTTGGAGATGTGCTAGCGTGTGAAAACTGCGAAGATCTAGTCTATTAGTTTTAAAGAATTGTTCTCTTTGTTGAAAGCTATTGTCGGAGATCGTCTTTGCCTGGATCATTTTTTTTTCTTTTCTATAATAGTCATGCTTCTCAGCATTTTAGGATTTAAGAAGTTGAGTCGATATAGAAATCTGAAATATCATACCTAGTCATCTACGTCAAGTGACAAAGTTGATGTAACTTATTGTTCAAAAATACTATTGTTTATTCTTTTATTCATAAACTTCTATTTCCAACACTTTGATTATCTGAAAGAAAATACTCTGCATTATTCTTAATTTAATTATTTATCAATAAGTGTAAAGAATTTTTTTTTTTAAATTTCTGATCAAACATAATGAATAATTGAATAATTATATTGAAATGTAGGGAAGCACAACAAACGGTGTAAATTTAATTAAGAGACAAATTTTAAAAAAAGAAAAAATATAATGCGATATCATCTTTAAGATCAGAGCGGAATTCAGATAGAATGTGACAAGAATTTAATAAGAATTCAACGCATTGACTTTCCAAGGTTTCCGTTTAACTATTTACATCGTTTAAAAAACCGTAGTTAGATCATAGAAAATCCGGGAAAAGTTTGCTTAATCATTATTTATTTGAAAAAAAGAATTACCATGATAGTTTAAGCAGTTATTTTATTTTTTTAAATGCTTAAACTAAAATTAAAAACAACTTTTATATTAAATATTTATTAGGTAAATAAATTACACAAGTTTCTTTTAAATATCCATTGACTTTTTTAATTATTTATTATATTTTTTAATCGATTATAAATTATTATTCTTTGATAATAAATAAAAATACCGTATTATGGAGGTTCTGAACTGGTTGATTTGGGGTCGAAAAATTTTTATTCTGTTGAAAAAAAAATTATAAGAATATATGTTCCATTTTTTCCCCGGTGATTATAAAAACATCTTTCTCGTCCACCTTATCCAAATCAAGTATGATAACTGTGTATTTATGTACTCAGAGTACAACTTTCTCAAAGAATTTAGAAAATTTTCTAAATCTTTCCTCACGAGCATTTAGGTAATTTCCCATAAACTATAAAACGTTCTGAGTTACGATCAGCTAGTGGGTAACATACAGCTACTTTTTTTTGAAAATAACCATATATTACGATTGAATTGTTAAATAACTGTATGTTTTCTAACGTTGCTTCAAAGAAAAGCCGATCATAACCGAACCAGTTGACAAGTATTGTTAGTGGTAGAATAATCCTTAATCTCCCTCGCTTTATTTATTACAAATTCGAATATATTTATTGCAAATAAAAAAAAATTAATTTAATTTACAAATGTAATAAATTTAATCAAAGCTATGATATGTCAGTTCAATGCCTTATTGGCATAAAGAAAAAAATGATGATAATTTTGAAGTAAAAATGAGGTAAACTCTCTACATTTCAGTCAAATCCTGTTGATTATTTTTTCTCTTTATTTAACTATTGTAAATTTTTTTTTGGTTGGTAATTTTATGTTTCTCGTCTGCTATTACTATATATATATATTGATTGTCAATAATAGTATGTATATCTCTATGGGAGTTGTGTGACTTTAGAATTAGAGTAAGCTATTGAGTCTATTTAATAAATAAATAAATGAAATAATACCGGTTCTTCTTTTCTAAAAGATGATTTGTCTTTTTTATGTTCACGATAATAGTAGTTTCCTTTAATTCCAATTATTTAAATCAATTATGAGACTTTTTTTGAAAAAATAGTTCTTTTATCTTGTTCATCTTGAATATTGTCTCACGAAGCCCACTATTTATATCTTATATCAGATAAAATTCAAAAGTATCAGGTTTAATTTTAATTCCATTTTTTCTTGAATATACAGTGCACCTGAAATTCATCTGAGTTTTGGATCTATAAAAACGAGCAATCGATTTCTTTGAAAAAGTTGATTCTAGGTCTAACGATGCATCTTAAGCCACAAGTGAAAAAGAGAAAAATCTAGTATTTGTCTTTCTTTCTTTTTAACCTGAACATCTTTCTGATTTGCATCGCTCTAGCGCATTTGAATGTGTTTTTTTGACAACTTATGGCCCCTAGAGAGATACTGAAATATCATGCATCAAATTCTGTACGGTTAAGTTGGAGTATTTGCCTCTGCTTACCAATTGGTCTCACTCTGCGGGTTGGACTGCACCCGGTCTAATTGTCAGAAACCATTTTATCCTTCAGCCAAAATAATTGGTTTTACCTCTTCCGTTTTTGGTCTTATTGCTACAAGGACCTACTATTTTCAGCATATACATATCCATCCAGAGATTGGCATTTACGATAAGAGATACTACAGACAAGTGTCAGCAACTTGAGATCCTGTGTGTAAAGCAATACTTTAGTTAACCGAACTCATTTCTCAAAATTTCAAAATTTGTTTCTTCAAATATTAGAAATGGATGAACCTTTCAACCTAACGTCCAGCTACTGAAGATGAATAATTACTCTAATTCGGTTTTTTAACTCATTTTGTTACCAGAATATTTATCACTTCCCTTCATACTTGGGACCTTGTACAGTTTTCTTGGAATTTTTTTTTGTTTTTTAATTATTGGTTTTTTTAATGAAATTTTTAATTTACTGATAATTTTTTTAAATTAATTAATAATTATTAAATATTTTTTTAAAATTAATTTCTAGTTGGAAAAAAAAATTTTCAAAATTAAAAAAACCGTACCTATTACAAAGAAACAATATATGAAGAAAAAAATGCATTTGGATTATGATTCATTAAATAGTTTAGTTTTTTATTATCTAAACAATTTGAAACAGCTATTTCATTTTTAATGACTTGTTGATTAGAGATACTAAGAAGTTTCATATTCAAAACTTACTTCAATACATTTACACTCGATATGTTATACTGTTCATAATCTTGAAAATAAATAAATTACAGCTGTTGTGCTTTTTGTACAAAGTTATTTATAGTTTGTAAAATAATTCGTAATTTTATGATACGACTAATAACTATCAAGACATATTGTGATCGTTAAGGAGAATCAATATTTAAATTATCAAAATTAATATTTATTTAATTGCCACAAATTTTTGATAGAGTAATATATATCAAGCTGTTTATTGTGTAGAATTTACAGTATCAAATATTCTAACGTTGATTTAGAAATGTACGTATTAAAAATTAATTTCTTCGTTGAAATATTTTATTCAAATCAATAATATTTATCATTCAAATAACAAAAGGAGTGTATATAAATAAATAATATTTTGTTTGGTTACAGGAATAATCTACTTAATTTATTTATTATTCTTGGATTATGCTGGACGTGTTTGTTCGGTTTAGAAAAAGATAGAAATAACGATGATATGATTTGCGGTCAACCGAAATTAAATACACGTGTTGAAACAATATTGCGATTACAACGTTCAAGAACAGAGAAAGCACTTGGATTTACTTGGACACTTTATATTTCGAAAAAAGACTCTGAGCAGAAAGAACCTGAAGATGGAGAATATGATGATTATTACGATTATGATAATTTTGTAGAGAACCTTTTGTGTAAAGGATTTTTAATCCATCCTCAAGTGGTAATAACTACAGCTAGATGTATGCAAGAGTTTTCTTTTAAAGCACAAAAAAATAATTCTGCTATAAAGAGTAGTTACAAATTTGGTCAATTAGATCCAACATTGCTTGACAAGATTGAAATCCGAAATGGAGCTTGGATACCTTTGGTTGTACGTCCTTTGATATATACAACTCCACCATTAATTCATGAACAAATTCGTTATGCTTCAAATGTGACTATCCATCCAAATTATAATTGTTCTAGTATGGAGAATAATCATGCTCTTTTGTTTCTTTCTGAAAGTTTTGATATGAGCAAACCAGATATTGGCCTACTGTGTCTATCAAATAGTGAAATGTTATCACTTCAGTGTCAAGAAGTATACAACACTTATTCGTCAGGTAAAAGAAAAAAAAAATTTATCAATTAGTTATCACAGCAATGAATTAAAATAATATTTTTTTATTTTCCAGAGGTGGACTACGGCAAGTTATGTAGAACTAATTATGTAAGTACTAAATGAAGTATTAATTACAATAAATACTGATAATTTTATTTTTATTTTCATGGGAAGAATTTATATTATAAGGAAAAATTTATGATGTGTCCAAAGGACTTGCATTACTCGAAAAAATACTATTACTCTGGACTTTATAGATATTTAGTCATTTCATCATCACAGGGAAAGGAAGCTGGAAGTTCTTATGATAGTTTTGTAGGCAATGTTGATTGGGTACGATCATTCCTGCGTGAAAATGGTGTAAATGATACTTTATATGAAATATAAAAAACGTAGTCTTAATTTAATATTTCTCTGTACAGACGTGTTGAGAATATTAAAGTAAAAATTATTCTGACATTTGAAGCAAGCTGATTAAATAGTACTTGCTTTAAAAATGAAGATAATAATTAGAGTAATGATTATTTTTAATCTTTTATTTGTACTAATGAGGAAGAAGAATAAAAATTTTTATGAGTTTGTTGTACATTATTTATGATTCATCAAAAATTCTCTTTAATAAAGAGACTTGGATTTTTTTTTAATATGAAAATACTAACATAAACATAATAGCATTTTCATAAGTCTGAAAAACATCTATTAAAAATGAAATCCGTGGAAGTTAGAAGGGTGGGAGTATTATTTACGGGGGCAAAAAATTTACCCCTTGCAGAGTCGCTAAGCAGCTTATTAACCAACAATAAGTTTGAAGGACACGGTGGCTGAAAAAGGCCAAAGGGTTACATGGGTATGGGCGGGTCACGTATTTCGCTCTTAGCCAGTAGACATTAGTGTCACAAGGTTTACAATATTACACTGATGCATACAAGGAAGAAATAAATGACACATGTAACTCAGCAGTCTGTCTTGTTACTCACAGATGGCTAAGCATGAGCAGAACCAAATGACCAAGTACTGCCAGGTTTATTCATCGATTCAAACAAACAAGACAAAACTACCCTCCCAAGAGACGACTAGAGCAACAATTGCTTATGTGGTTTGACAATTTAACTATTGATGATCGATGGAATTTTTTCGTAAAGAATTTTTGCTAAATTTCTGATTCATCCAATACCTTTTTTCTTTGTTAAGGGTTTATTTTTACTTAAACAAACCACTTACAAACTTTGAGTGCTTAAAGATGAGTTCATGCATCAATTTATCAGTCAGAACTTATCAACAAAAAAATATAGATAAAAATGCTGGATAATATATACCACGTAGAAGCATTACATGTGATAAGTACTACTATCATCTCTGACAACTTTCACAGATTTTTTAGATTAGTTTGCCAGAGTTAAACCAAAACAACCTCTTAATCGGATCTGAAATGCCAAGAAAAACTCCCAGAATAAGGGAATAAAGAGAAATATGTTCAGACTTTTTTACGCTTCATTATGGTCCTCTCATGCAGTATCATAATTTTTAAATGTCACTTGTAGATCCTCTTTGTTACACAGATGTTTAAAATTATTCCATTATTCTTGGATATTTTTTTCAAAGAAATTTTTTCATGCTATTCCATAAGTAGATTAATTATTACCTACAAAAAAAATTCAAATTGTACAGAATAAAGAATCATTTTAAACATGTAGGTTTAGAAGTTCAGTTGAACTCCATAACAATATGGGGTAATGTAAAAAGCATCAAGTAGTAGATCAATTTATTAATTGAGATAAAGAAGAATAATTTAGGTCATGTGAATACTTATCTTCATTTATTTTTCCCAATAGAAGGAACTTTTATGACAAAACATCATCATTTAAAGCAGATCAATGCCATTGGACATTTTCATTTCTTAGTTTTAGTATTCTTCACATTTTAGTGAAGCTGTACCTCGTAACTATTATGTTCAATTAATAATAGGCTCACGACAGTCTTGCCAATGTGAAAACGAAAGCGTGTCATCACCTCAGTTTGTCAATGATAATTTTACAATTGCCCTAAACGAGTCACTTTATGTTGCTCAGTCGATTTGTGAATGAACTCTCTGCTGGACCTACAGCCTCAAACAGTGTGTGTCTTTGACATTTAAATGTTGAACGGCAAATTTCTAGTATTCTGATAAAATTTATGGCATACTCTGAAAAGATGCCAGACATTCGCTACTTGTTTCCGGTGCAGAAAACTAGAGCTATCAAGGGTTTTCTGAACAAAGAGCGAAGATTAAATGATGTCTTTGAAAGAATACTTGTACCTTCCATGGTTCTACTTTTATGCGAATTTTCTCTTCTTTTCAATACCATTATACTCCAAATTATTTGAATAGAAAATGTCCCGCTGAACTCAAAGGCACCTTAAACCATGCAGCCAATATATTTCACAGTTCTTTGATCTTTTTTTCTTTAAAAACAGTTCAATTTATGCATAACCTGTAAGTTAACAGTGCTATTAGTTGATGTAACATCTTAAAATTAATGCTCATGATGTAGTTGAATAATGATAATTTTAAATAATAAATATAGATTTTAAATAAAAGGTGGTATTAATTGATGGATTAGATACTGATCAAAAGATTGTAATAAATTTTTAAAAGTCATTGTTTTAAATAAAAATATCAAAAGTAGTAATTTCATTTAAACTACATAATAATTTTCATTACTACTCATTTAAAAATAAATTAAGTACAATTATTTGAACTTTATTTTTCCTCAGAATTATCAACAGAGGTTATCTTTTAATTATTGTGTTGTCCACCTAAACTATAGTGATTTCTCCAAACTCCTCCTAGTAAACAATTAAATTAATCTTAGGTGATGATGATAATTGAAATGAATAAACAAGCCTAAAAATTGTTTTCCATTAATAGGCATTTAATAAATAGTTATTCTGCTTAGGATAAGTTAATTGATTTGTGCGGAGTAAAAATATGTCGAAAAAACAATAAAAGAAGAAATGTCAATTAGAAAAATCAACAAATACTTTCAACAATCATGGATGATTATTTAATATAATTATTAGGTGCGTAAGTGTTGTGCCCGACCCTGAAAGAAGCTGAACTAATGAAAAAGAAAGGGAAAGTATGTAATGAAAGAAAGAGAAAAAGAAGCTGTTACCCTAGCAAAAATGGTATACATACAAGGGTGAAGAAAGAAAGTGTATACTGCATTATTGAAAGCACGAGGCACATCTCAGAGGCGTTTACAAAAGACTTGTTTCTCGCTTTCTCAATAATCTCTCGCTCTTGTTGATCCTTGCAGAGTCGGGGTTGATTTACCGAACGACTGGAGGGGAATACGCATGCGCAGTGATTCGTTCCCCTCTGGCATAGGATTCACGTTGGGCCTACCCCCTCCCTCTCGACATTATATACAAACTGGTCGTCGTAGTCAACCTCCCTCTACATCGGTCGTTGTCCACTCAGTTATTAAAACCGAGACGACACGCTCACCAACCCGCAATTATCTGGCGAACGCCTGTGGCCGCGCAACTAAAACTGGACTTGACTCCCTCTCTCCATCAGAGTTACTCGTGCCACGAGTTTTTAAACGTCCTTCGGTTTCCGCCTGGACGTCCTTGCTTTACTCTCTAGTTTGTTCGACTGTATATTTATATCGTGGGTGGATAGACAAATAATTGGATTAATAAAAAACCCAAGTGTGGAGAATAATTTTATAGCAACAGTTGTTGAGTGTTTGAAGGAAACGAAACTTAAAGTGTAAAGTGATGGCACAAGTGATGCAGTATCAACAGGTTCGATATAATCTATATATACAGTATACAATAATTTTACGGCAAATTATCACGGTACGCGCGGGTGATTATAGTAATTCCCAGGTGTAATATTACATTCGAAGCGTGAGCTCTTGATGGCTATACGTGGTTGATGCTTAAAGATTTTTTTTTAACGTCGCAATTACACTAGTCGGTTTTGTTTTAATAATTAAAAGACTTTGAACAATTTGATACAAAAAAGTACATTTTCTTTATTAATATAATTATCAAGCATATTAAACTAACTGGTTTCTTAATTGATCTTCACAGATGAGCATGACACCAATGATGTCTTCAATGACTCCTATGAGTGGACTCTCGATGCCAATGCATCATCATCATTATCCCATGGATTATGGGTCATCTGGAATGCATTATCACCCGTATAATGCATCTATTCCTAGTCATCATCTCCAGAGCAGTCAACCTTCTTATTGGTTTCCTGGATCCACTAGCCACACTCAAATCTCTGAACCTCTGTCACCACCATCATACACAATGCCGTCTACATCTTCCTGGAGCACGCAAACGCACTTATCTCAACCACAATTATCGACCATTTCGGCTATTCAACATTATCCATTACCACCAAGTCCACCTGAATTATCACCAAGTCCACAGGGCCACACCAGTCCATATCAATGGCCACTCACTCCACCAGCTGATCATATATTCGGTGATGAAACAAAGCCCGGGAGAAAGTGCACCAGATGTCGTTGTCCTAATTGCCAAATTGATGGAGGCAATCAGCTTGGCGCCGATGGCAAAAGGCAACACATTTGTCATATACCAGGATGTGGAAAAGTTTATGGCAAGACATCACATTTGAAAGCTCACCTCAGGTGGCACACTGGTGAGAGACCTTTTGTATGCACTTGGGTCCTATGTGCAAAACGTTTCACAAGAAGTGATGAGTTACAAAGACACATGAGAACTCATACAGGTGAAAAACGATTTGCTTGTCTAACGTGTGGAAAACGATTCATGCGAAGTGATCATCTTACTAAACATGTGAAGACTCACGAGAATCAGAAGAGGAAATTATCCAAAAAGGATAAGGAAAATGAACCTGACAAACAGGAAGTGCAAATGATGCCATCCACGCAACCGCAATATATGCCCATACCATCATATCCAATGGCTTAAGTTATCATTATGTTTTATTGGATGAAAATTATCAGTTAAAAGTTGTAGCGTCTAATAAGCTAATTTTTTGTATCTTGAGACTGAACATATATAAAAAGGTGCTGTGACAGTGTGCCTGAAGGACTATTCATTATAATTGTACATATTTTAAAAGAAAAATTTTAGTATGAGTTGTAAAAATAATTGTATATAAAATATTTCTTATTTTTGTAAATTATTATAATCATTCAGTAAATTATATATCTATTGTAATTAAGTTATAATTCATAATGATGATGTATTAAATTTTGAACAATATCGAAAAAAGATCTTTGTGTTAGGATTTTTTTTTTTTTTTCAATTTATCTTGGCGACGGATCCAACGAATTTAGTTAAGATCCAAGTATTCATCGTTAAAAAAGTTCACATAAAAATGAATCATCCTCTTGTATATCAGATCTATTGAGAAATATTCTTGTCACCCGATACATCCTCTAGATTCTAGAACATCCGCGGGGTTACAATATATAATGCATGAGGGATTGTCCGAAAGTAGTCTGACAGATATTGATGGTATTTCTACCTGCAGGTGTGTTGATCGTTTTAAAAAATCTGCAGCAATCTCGATCACTTCCATCATACTCTTGCTATTACTTTTTTTATGAATTACAAGATTTACTTGCTTTCATGCCATTCCATCACGTTAAAAAGGAGTTGAAGACTTGAAAATATTTTATTGCAATTTTTTATCTGTTTTTATTCTTCATCTTGTATGTCAAATAAAAAATGAATTCTTCTAATGTTGGATTCTGGTAAAATGATAATTTTCTTAGTGAACATGCAATGACAAAGATTAATAGATTATTTTGAATAAAAATAATTTGAAATAGAATAATATGTGCATATTTAGTTTCATTTAATTGTACATGTTCAGTCTAATGGATAAGTATCTTATTTTTGCTTCATTTTAATGGTGACATATTTACTTTCAACGTATTCCAATCTGTCTGCATATTCTTTTTGTTATATAAATAATTCATTAAAAATTTTTTATATCTTTAAAATAAATTATTCGAAAAAAATTAAAAATAATTGTATTGAAATAAAGATAGTTTAAAAGGTGTAAAAGAGCCGGGCTAGATAATTTGATTGTACGATCCTGTGGCAAAAGTTATGAGAAGTGGCCAAGTAATTCAACAGATGGCACCAGAGTGAATGGAAAAAGCCACGAGGGTGCTATTAAAGGGGCGTTGCGCGTGGCCGAGCTCTGGCAAAGATTCATGGCTGGCGCGTAGCATCGCGAAGGCAACAGTGAGGGGTACAAAAATGAAATAAAATAAAAAAAAGCATCGGACCACGGAGTAAATTACAGGGAAAAATCAGGAGGACAGAGTAAGCAGGAAGACGAGTTGGAAAAAGAGGTAGATAGAGTGGTAAAACGATAGAGTAGCTGCAGAGAAAGAGAATAGCTCGGTCGTGAAATGAAAGAGGGGAGTCATGAAGAGGACGTGCACGAGAAGAGGAGGGGGTGGCGCCACAGCAATTCCAGAGTCGCGTTCAACCAAGTGCGCGGAACCCGCGGAACGTAAAGTTAGTGTGCAAGAGATTCAAAGTGAATGCTGGCCGTTATTACTCGCTCCGGCTTTTACTCACGATTTTACGTACAACATTTCGAGACGAAAAAAAAAAACAACACTGCAAAAACACATCTATCAAAAGCTGTTTGAATAATCTCGAACGGATGTTCGCAATCGGTTGAACCAGCGCACGCGTGGTACCAATACATGGGTTCCAAGATTCAACACTAACACAAAACTGCTATTTGTTAGACTCATTCCAACTACCACCTGCGTCTTCAAAGATCAATCTTACCTGCACGTTCTTCTAGTGCGATGTTACGTGCAATCAAAAATCAAAGGAAGGAGAAAATAATCGGCGATTCTTAAGGTAGAGGCACTTGAAAGAGAGAGAGAGAAAGTGGGAGAGAAAAGACCATCCTCTCTCTTAACGCTCAACGCTTGAATCTCTCGCGAGTTCCACGTGCTCGCCGTCTCATCGACAGTGTCCCGAGTTTATAGCTTGTACAGTTTTGTGTTTATGTTAGTTTTATTGCAGTTCGTTTAATCGTGCTATTGTTTATTAAAATATGCCAGCTCTCTTTGTATAATACTTACTACGAGTATGAGTGTACGATTTTATCGGTTGGAAACAATCAATTGTGGAGAAAAATATTATTTTGTTAATTAAATATTATTATTTTTTGAAAATTTATCATTTAGTTGTTGATATTGAAGAAAGTCAATTCCAATTATACTTTGGAACCAAGTAGATTAGTGGTTGAATCAAGCTGGAGTTTATTGAAGTTGATATTCAAGACAGAAAGATTGAAAGCATCAAACTGGAGGCAGAAGTTGGGGGCGGCAATGGCCGCAGGGGTTCTAGCCCTACTGCGCCATTGATCAGCATAAACGTAAGTTGACATAAATGACTCTTATTAATTACCATTTTATACTTGGATTGACATAATATTTATATTTATTATTCACCACGCTATTCAAATTTTTTTTATTACTAGTCTTGTGTGTTCATAATCATAAATTATATTGACTATTTTAACGTCGATAATAATTCACGGTTTCTTTTATTAAAGAAAGCGTAGGTACTCCAAGAATGATTTTTTCCTTTCTCGTTATAACAATCTCTTCGGTCCGTGTGATCGTAAATTTACGCACTTCTTCTGTAAATTTCGAGTCGGTCTAACAAGAGAGGAAATGAGAATAGACGCAACCTTTTGCGGTGATTTAACCCTTGAACTGTTCCTTCGTGAGAGGCGCGCTCTTGACAAGGTTGAACTTGTAGAGTCGTATAGCGCCTCCGTCACACGCCGTATCTCTCGCCAATATAATAAACGTTACTATGTTACTAACGCCCGTTTCCGCCCCCTATACATCAACCATCCTTCATACCTTTACCTGAGCCACGTATACCACCTTTCAGATTCAATGTAGAGTCTTGGAAAGAATGCTTTTTACGACCTTTTGCTATCATAACCTTTTTGATGACCAACGACCTTATAACGATATTCTGTGAATCCTTTAAATCAATCTTGAACTAATTTATTTTAAAGTCAACTCATGCTTGGAATTTATCACTATTTATTAACTTCATTTTATTGTAAAGATAATACAATGAAAAAAATTTGAAAGGAGTCACATGACTCTAAACAATTATATATTGTTTATAATAATTTCGATTTGTTTTAAGCAATTGAATATATTTTTAATTTATTGAATAATTATCACTATCATTATATTTAATAAATATTCATAAAGTATTGTTGAAGTAAAAATATTTCTGTTCAACGGTGAATTTTCAGTTGTTAAAAGATGACAGAATAACGGATTTCAATAGATGAGAACAACAAAGTGCGCTTAGACCGATTTTTTTTCTGTGAGTCTTGGAGTTAATTTTAGAAAGAAAGTAAAAGAAATTTTGCAATTGTCTGTATTTATATATATATATATATAAATACAGACAATTGCAAAATATATGTGGTTCGAATGAAGAATAGTATCTTCAACCACAAGTCGGCTAAAAAATAATACAAATGTTGTTGAAATAAAATGCCGGTACTCTCCTCTCGACACACCCCCACACAAATCTAATTAATTTATACCCAGGCGCCACCACCAAAGACGTTAGTTAGAATCAGGGTGACGTTTGCTTCAAGTTAATTGCTTCTAAACCTTATTAATTCTTTCCTTTTTCTTTCTTTATTTAGTATTATATAATTATTTTAGGATTGGAGTAATACTATTATAACTTTTTTTTTTTTATTATTTTTATTTTTTATTAAATGTAAAAATTTATTTCAATTTTTTTTTTTATTTTTTATCTAAATTTATGTGCTAAAAGGTTTGAGTAATTTTTATTTAAGAAATCCAATTGTAAAATGTCAGTTTAATTATTTTTTTTTCCAAAAATATAGTTTAAAAAAAAAACCTGAACAATCGAAATAATCCAAAAACTATGTTCGATGTTAAGTTATATAAAAAAAGGAAGAAGAAAATATAGTAAGAGTTTCATGAGAATAAAAAATTGTCATGAAAGGTGAGCTGAGAATTTCACGCAATTATTTTATCTCTGTGCTATATAAAATCAAGAGGGTCGAGTTACTTTTGTACTGTAAAAAGAGCACAGAAGAAAAAAATAGGCCTTTATGTAAGGAATCTTGTTTTCTCACTACAGGTCTTTTGGTACCACAAAAAACCTATTGATGATTTTAATTTATGCAAATATTAAATTAGTCCGAAAGCAAGAAAAAAATGTAATAAAAAAATTAAGTAAGGTAAATAAATGATTAAATTATAATAAAAGGATGTATGTAATTTTGCACCTGCAAATTGGTGGCACATTTGTGGTGTCGTTCACTGCTGATGACAACGAAACTGAGGACACCTCTGAAAGCACAAAATGTGAGGGAATCAGGACATGCACCAGATGGAACCAATTCGCTTACCAATCATTGAGGGGACGTTCAGCTGTCGTTGAAATTATGCAACGGTTCAAGAATTAAGACATCACTTTAATACATACTCATGGTTTTAGTGGTAGTAGAAGTAGCAAAAGTAGATGTTAATATTTTTATTCACTACCTATTTTATTGTTATTAAGTTGAAGATTATCTCACTGCTACATTATCATACACAATTATTATCATCATTCAATACATGCTTATTTGTTTAATTAAAAAATTATAAATAATTCAATCATTACAGAAGCTCAGTAATTTATCATATTTTATTTAATAGGTTTAAGTGAATAAAGAAAAGGATATTTGATTAAGAAAATCATGTATTTATTGAAGAAATGTATTGAGATGTTGTTTAAAATAACCTGAAAAATTAAATTGATTCATTAGTAAGATATTACATGATTATTCTGATGATAGTGATATTAAAGAGAGCTATTATAACTATACTATTATAAGCAATCTTCTAGATAGGTAATACAGCTTTTCAACTTACTTAGGTTTGAATTCAATCAT